AATGAGTAGAAATATGTCCATGTCTCATACAATATGTGCACACAAAATTTCTTTTGTATGCATGAGAGTGAGAGCCATAAAACTTATTTCTACCATGATGATAATTAGCAAAAACATGAGTGGGTCTAGTCCTACAACCCTCAATTTCTAATTTTTCAATCTTTGATCTTAGTTGCTTATTCTCGAAATCGAGATCTCCTAGCAATTCATCTTTAAGAGCAAGAGAGGTTGTTAGTTGTTCTAGCTTAATATCACAAGAGGCATGTAATTTTTTGAAAGAAGAGTATTCCTTAGACATTCTTTTAAATTCAAAATTCAACTCTTCTAAAGCCATAGCTATATCACATTGCATATAGAAAGATTCACTTTCGGCCTCGGATATTACCTCATGTTCATTTGCCATGAAACAAACATTTGGGTCATGAAGAGCAAGTTTGGCTCCTTCTTCATCACTATTCGAGTCACTTGGTTCGGATTCTTCCCATCCGGCATACATGGCCTTCTTCTTCTTGTACTTCATGTACTTTTCTTTGAGCTTGGGGCAATCTTTAGCGATGTGACCCGGTTCATTGCACTCAAAACATTTACCTACACGAGAGGAAAACTTGTTGTTAGATCGAGGGTTAAATTTCTTGTTCATTTTTATGAGTCTAGAGATTCTTCTAGAGAGATGAGCCACTTCTCTAGAAAAATCGACTTCACTATCCGATGACGAAGACGAGTTGTCACTAGCTCCTTTGAGAGCTATGGTCTTCAACTTTGGTGACGGCTCCTCAACTTCACGTGATGGTACTTCCTCCTTCTCCTTCCCCTTGAGCTTCTTCTCACGCACTTTGAGCTTTCCGATGAGGCTATCGAGAGCTAAGGTAGTGAGGTCATGAGCTTCCTCAATGGCCATAGCTTTGGGCTCCCATGCCGGAGTCAAGGAGCGAAGTATCTTGTAGTTCATCTCTTGAATAGACAAGTGTTATCAAGACCATGTAATTCATTGATGATATTAGTAAAATGAGAAAACATAGCATCAATGGATTCATTAGGAAGCATTTTAAATAGCTCATAATCATGCATAAGTCCACTAATCTTAGATTCCTTAACTTGGGGGGTTCCTTCATGTGTGACACATAATTTTTGCCAAATTTCGTATGCGGTTGCACACGTGGAAACTCTATTATATTCATTAGGGGAAAGACCACAAATTAAGGCGTTCATAGCCTTAGCGTTGAGATTAGCTAGGTGCCTTTCTCCATCGGTCATGTTCCCGACTTTGGACTTTTCTTCATATTTCTCTTCTATGAGCTCTAGAATGTCAAGGTCTATGCAACGAAGGTAAATTCTCATCCTAGCCTTCCAATAAGCAAAATTAGTGCCGGTGAAGAGAGGTGGTCTAGTTGTGGATTGTCCTTCTAACATATGCATATTCAAAGAGGCCTCCATTAGATCTTTTCTCTAAGGCGGTTAAACCAAAAATTAATATAGAGACCAAGCTCTGATACCAATTGATGGACCGTAGAGGGGGGTGATTAGGGTCAAGAGGCTCTAATTATGCAATAAAAATTAAGACAAGCAAAACACAATATACTAATGCAATCAAAGTAAGAGAGATAGGGTTAGGAATCGTTATCCTTTGACGCGCGATGTGTTAACGAGGTTCGGTCCGCTGACCTACGTCCCCGCTCCCCACTCTCGAGGAGAAATCCACTAACACATCCGGTTTGGAAGCCGGAACTTCGTCTACACAGCGATCCCACACGATCTCTCTCACTACACAGTTTGATCTCAACAGATCACACTCCCTCACAGTTGATCTACACAAGATCTCACTCACACAGCAGAAGAAAAGATGCAAGACTCTCTCTTTACACAGCCCCTATAGCAAAGAGAAAAAGTACTGAAGCTGGGAAGTGAATCACACTTAAAAACAGAGAGAAAACACAGAAACCAGACTTTGAAAATTTTTCTCAGGAAACAGCAGACTCTGGTTTTTGCAAACGTTAGGGCTTAAGGAAGAAGATGAAAACACAGAAAACAAACAGAGACTTCATCGGTCGACCGGTGCGGTCGACCGATAGAAAAATCGAGTTTTTGGTCGACCGCACCGGTCGACCGACAAACTCTCTGGACTCCAGTGACGAAAGATCATAAGTGCGGTCGACCGGTGCGGTCGACCGCATTCTGACATATTCTGGAAACAGTATTTTGACTCAACCAAAAATATGTAGAAAATATTTATTTGACCTCTGAAAATTATGAAACTTTGTAAAATGTTTTTAATACTAAAAACAAACTGTTTGGAAAAAGAATTTTGCAGATAGGTCCTCATACTTGTGAAAAATAGTATTTTGTGAAAAACGCTTAAAAGCTTAAGTATGAAAACGTGTGTGTGAGTCCCAATAGCTTCAAGTGAATTCAATAACTCTTTGCCTACATTCTAATACTAGAGAGAGAATAAAAACTAGCTAATATCCTCACATAGAATGTAATTCTTGAGTCTTGATATAGCTTGAGTTTGGATGAAGCTTTTATATGAATTTGTTGTTCTTGAAATAACATTGCTTCATCGCTATGCCTCCTCCTCCTTTGGATATCATCGTTGTAGCGTATATTCCATCCAATCCTCCATGAATGGCACTAACAAGCTTGATAAAAGAATTTACTACATTTGCACTCAATAAGCCATTAGTACCGATAATGGTGGTTATAAAACATCATCAAAACATAAGGGCTAACAAGAACACATATCACCTATGTACCAGAAAATGATAGACTGTTTTGACAAAGAATATATTTTCTTGGTAAAAATGAACAGTAACGATGAAGGAAAAAGAATTAAAGGAAGATTAACTGCTCAAGGAATATGCAGGTCAGACGATTTCACACTAATAGAATGTGATGAAGATGAAGATTCAAAGGACATTTCAATAAATCGAAAGAGTATGACAAGCTTGAAAAAAGATATGAACAAAAGAAAGTTCATGAAAAATAAAAATATTGAAATAGAAAGTGAGGAGTGATACATCATTTACAGCACTTGATGAATACACTTAATTATGTTTATTTAAACTTATTACGTTGAGGATACTGCACCTGTGTTGATTTTAATAAGTACATTTTAGATATTGTTTGTTTGTTTAAAGTATTATGAATCAAACATATTCTATGTAGCAAAGAAAGTTTTTCATGATATATATGTTGCTAGATTTTTTATATTTCTATAAAATTAGTTATCAATTATGTTACTTATTGGATTTCTCAGTTTTTTTTTGAAATTTAGATTAATTATTTAATTAAATTCTTTATTGGATTTTAAAGTTTTATATTTAGATTTTGTTATAGTTACCTACGAGTATAAATATATGTGTTAGTAGAAAAAAGTGTGATGGTACTCAAATAGCGAAGAGGTCTGATGTAACGTTAATGCTAATATTGTACTATTTTCATTCCATACTTTCTCCTTTATCGAGTTACTTTCTCCTGCGATCCTATATTTAAATTCACTACTTGGTAGATTAATTGATACTATGATTTGCAATGATAAGATTACAACTATAAAATTTTATCAGAACGTAAAGAATTCAAAAATTAAAGAAAATATTATTTCATACTAAGATGGAAGGTACGATTGAAATCATTTAATTTTTTTCCTCTAATTGCACTTGCAATTTCATAATAGACTGATAGTTTTTGTTTATTACTATTATGTTCTTCCTAAAGTTTCTAAGAATATACTCTCTCGACTTAGTGCCTTTGATATGTCCAGCACAATCCCTTTGATTGGAGATGTTAGGACTTTGGAGACAAACATATTTACTTCCTTCCATAGATATCTATATGGAGATGTACCAGTTTACTTGGTTTCCAAATATTTACTTGTGGGTTGGTAAATCTCTTGAGATCTTCAGGTGCAAATGCGTGTACTTTTAATTAATCTGAAGGTTGAATGAGTTAAAATTCTCATTCATGTTGAAAATAACAAAGGAAGTTGTTGAAATACCATTAAATGAATAAGATAATATCTCTTTTTTTCAAGGAATCTTTTTTTCATTTACTTCTGCAACTTCCCATTCAGAAGCAGCTTCAGTCTATTGTTTCATTGCTTTAAACTACAAAAGTTCAAAACACGCATCATAACTTTTGAGACCACACCCACTTGATATTATCTGAAACATCCATGAAGTTTTAATTACTCATTGGATATTATCTACACAGTTAATGTAGATACTAGGTTGCGTGCTTTTTTTGACTATTTCACGAGATTGTAATGATGGTAATGAGTAATAATACTTGCTCCTTTTTTTTGTTTAACTTGTCCTAATTTGCTAAGATGAGAGAGTCCCAACTGAACTAAAGAAAAACATAATGCAAGCTAGAATGGATAAAAAATTCACCCAGGCAAAACTTGCACATGTATTTTCTTGTTACTTTCTTTGGTTTCCATTAATTACTGGCTATGATTTAGATTCTTTAACTGATTTCTATGGTATAGTAAATTTGTACTAAGTTCACACGAGAATAAAGTAGCAGTAGGGCCCTTGTGCTCTCTTCTCGCTATCTAACTACCGCATGATGGAACTTGCGTGGATTTAGTTATGAACTTAAAATGATCCACTGAAACTCGTTGGTTGGTAGAATTTGAGGCTTACTTTCTTTGTTCCTATTTAGTAATTGCTATGTGTATTGAAATATGTAATACAGGATTTCTTAGTGAATAAGTAGAACACGATAGGTAAATTTACTGTTGTAATGATTATTGGGACTAATCTGAGGAGCAAAATGCTATTGAATTTTAAATTGTACCCCTGTAAGCTTGTTCAGTCATAACTGTTCGCAATCAACCTGCTATGTTCTGTATGATAAGTAATTTCAATTACACTTTGCAATGGTCAAATGGCACAAGAGTTTTGATATTATTATATTTCTTCTCATAAAGCAAAATAACTACTAACAATTGGCGTGGTCAGAATATATTCCAAAAATGTAAATTATCTCTTCCATGATTGCAGTGAGGCACTGCTCAATGTAAAGCAAGCTTTTCGGTCAACTGCAATTGATCTTCCTCCAGAAGAATCAACTGCACCATATCATTCAATTACACTGCCAGAAACTTTTGATCTTGATGATTTTGAGCTACCTGATAGTACTTTACTCAATGGGTCAGTTCCACTTATTACATGTGTACAGCTTTGAGAGAAGTTTTTCTTGTATCTTTCACATATATTAAGATCTGCTTTTTTTATGTATGTATATGTGTGTGTGTATGTGTGTATATATATATATATATATATATATATATATATGACTATGTGGTGAAATAAGGATCTTGTAATGTAGAGTGCTATAACCATTGTCCTTTTGCTCACATCACAAATGTTGCTTTGCAGTAACTTCGATGACCGCCATGTCGGTACAAGAGAGAAGATTACACTTCAGGATACTGTGGATGGCACTGGATACTCCACATCACAATTTTGATTACATGGTAACTATTTTATTAATTTCGTCTCTTTAATTGTGAATATATGTTGTATGTCAACACTACACTGAGATGTGTGCGCTAATATTTGATTACACATATAGATTTGGTGATGGAGATGCTTCTCAGATTGGTGTGGAGCTTGACGAGGTATAAAATTTTCTTCTTCTTTTGGCTTTAGTGTTTGCAGTTTGATGAGGTTAGCATTTTGGAGGTGGTCTCCTAACAGGTGAAAGTTTAGAAACCACTTAGCGAATAGACTATGAAAATATTTTCTTTTTCTCTCATGTTAATTCTGATTTTGAATTATCTTAGTCTCCTGCTTCTTGTTTTGTTACACACAAAAAATTATTATTGGAGAATAATCTCTGGCTGTTGGCACTGAGATCCTTGCCTTTGCAAAGGTTGTCCTCTCTCACATTGTTCTCAAGTATAGCATGTTAACTAACTCATGGTCTCCTGGTGTTGGAATGACTGCACCAAGATGCCTCTTTGGCTACGAACAACACATGGAACTTTTTCAATTTTCACAATTCAGATTGCTTTTCGGTAGTGTCTCTCTTATCTACATGCTGATGTTTACGTTAACTTTAATCTGTTGTATGGTCATCTGGCACTAACGTTACATGCATTGCAGACTTGCATGTATACAGATTTATTCCTTGCAATCTAGCATCAAATAATTGTTTTCTCTTAACTTATATTATGTTTCTGTTGGGGATGCATAACCCCCCTGATGCGATTTGGAAATAGAGATTTAGGAGAGAAGAGAGAATTCAATCAATCACAAACACACAAGATTTACGTGGTTCGCTTCTCAATGTGAGAAACTACGTCCACGGCCGCCGCAGGAGAAGATTTCACTATTTTCATCTTTATTACATTATGCCCTAATCAACCCTTTTATAGACTTAAGGGTTTTACAAATAGAAAAGGACACAGGTCAAAAACTATAACTGGGCCAAAACCCGACTCGCGGTCGACCGCCGCGCCACGCGCGGTTGACCGTGACGAATCCTTCTCATAATCAGAGTCTCTGGAGTTTTTGCGGTCGACCGCCGTGCCACCCGCGGTCGACCGCGACGAAGCCTCCTGCTGATGGTAGCTCTCTGGTCGACCGCGACGAAGGCAAAAATTCTGGCTGCTCTCTGGACTTTTGGCAGTCGACCGCCGCGCCATGCGCGGTCGACCGCGAAGCTGCTCCTCAGCAATGTGCCTATCTGTGCACGTCGGTGGTCGACCGCTGCGCCATGCGCAGTCGACCGCGCCTCAGTCAAAATGCGCCCTTCGTCGTTTTGCTTGAGCTTCGTCGTCGTTGATCATGTTCCTCATGTTCTACTTTGTTCCTCTTTATTCTGAAGTATAGGGCAGGTTTGATAGTTAGGCTTCACATATCCTAACAATCTCCTACTTGGAGACTAACTATCAATCCCTTTCAGCTCTCTCTATGGTGACGGCCTCCATATCATTAAGTAATGAGGCCAACTGAAGTTGAACACAACTTCAGTTTCTCTATAGTGACAACCTTGGTAAGCATATCGGCCGGGTTCTTGCTTCCTTGAATCTTCACAAGTTCCAACATGTCCTCGTCCAACGCTGATCTTATGAAGTGGTAGCGGATCTGTATGTGTTTGGTCCTTGCATGAAAAGCGGGATTCTTCACCAAATGAATTGTGCTCTGGCTATCACAATGTAAGACACTCTTCTCACTCTTCTGTCCCAGTTCCTCTAAGAAACTCTGCAACCATATCATCTCCTTGCTTGCCTCTATCACAGCAACATATTCAGCCTCTGTCGTTGATAAAGCAACGATCTTTTGCAACTGAGAAACCCAACTAATAGCTGTAGAGCCAAAAGTGAATACGTATCCTGTAGTGCTCCTTCTCTGGTCTATCTCACCAGCATAGTCTGCATCAACAAAACCCTACAGAACTAACTTGCCTCTCCTGAAGCACAAACAGTCTTCTATTGTACCTCACAGGTATCTCAGAATCCACTTTACTGCTTCCCAGTGCTGCTCTCCTGGATCTGACATAAATCTGCTCACAGCTCCCACTGCATGGGCAATGTCAGGTCTCGTGCATACCATGGCGTACATGAGGCTTCCAATGGCTGAAGCATATGGAACCTTAGCCATATAGTCTTTCTCTTCATCAGTCTCGGGGCACTGCTCCTTAGTCAATTTGAAATGACTAGCTAGCGGTGTGCTAACGGCCTTAGCACCACTCATCCCGAATCTCTCAAGCACCCGTCTAATGTACTCGGCCTGAGATAGCCGCAGTGTGCCCAAGAGCTTGTCTCTACTGATCTTCATCCCCAATATTTGCTTCGCTGCACCTAGATCCTTCATGTCGAACTCACTCGACAGCTGCTTCTTCAGCTTCTTGATCTCTCTCATGTCTGAACAGGCTACTAGCATGTCGTCGACATATAAAAGCAGGATGATGTAACTGTTGTCAAACTCCTTGACAAAGCAACAGTGATCAGCATTGCACCTGGAGTAACCGTTCCTGTGCATGAATCCATCGAACTTTTTGTACCATTGCCTTGGAGCTTGTTTCAAGCCGTACAAGCTCTTCTTCAATCTGCATACCATCTTCTCTTTTCCCTTCTGAGTAAACCCCTCTGGCTGCTACATATATATCTTTTCCTCTAGATCACCATGGAGGAAAGCTGTCTTTACATCTAGCTGCTCAAGATGTAGATCTTCAGGTGTAACAATACTCAGGACTGTTTTGATGGTAGTCAGTTTGACTACAGGTGAGAATATCTCTGTGTAATCAACTCCTTCTCTCTGCTGAAATCCTTTAACCACCAATCTGGCCTTGTATTTCTTGGAACCATCATGTTCCTCTTTGATTGTGTACACCTATTTGTTGCTCAAGGCCTTTTTCCCCGTTGGTAGCTTCGCAAGTTCCCATGTCTTGGTTGGTGTTCAAGAATTTTATTTCATCTTTCATGACGAGCTCCCACTTGCTCGCATCATACACTCGAAGTACCTCATCATAAATTTCTGGCTCTCCACCGTCACTCAATAATAGGTAGTTGAGATGGGCTCTGGGCTGTAGTGATGGATACTTTGGATTAGGCTTGGGGACTCTAGCTGACCGCCTCAACTCTCTGATGGGCGAACAGACTCTCCATCTTCATCTGCCCCCTCTGAAGTAGTCTCATCCATCAACTCTTCTTCTTCATCAGAACTAGCTTCAGGATTGCCTCCATATGAGGCATCATCTAACTCGAAGTATGTGGGATCACTCTGCACCGAACTAGTGGACTGAACGGCATCACGGTCTTTGTAGAGGACTGTTTCATTAAAAACCACATCCCTGCTTCTGATAATTTTCTTGTTCTGCTCATCCCAGAATTTGTAGCCAAACTCATCACCGCCATAGCCAACAAAGAAACATTTCAAAGACTAAGGCTCAAGTTTGTTTCTTGCACGATCACTCAGATGAACATATGAAACACATCCAAATACTCTCAGGTGAGAAAGATTTACCTGCTTTCCACTCCATACTTCTTCAGGTATTTTGTGCTCCAAAGGCACTGATGGTCCCCGGTTGATTAAGTAGGCAGGTGTGTTGACTGCTTCTGTCCAGAATTGCTTTGGAAAACCTGCTTATAACCGCATACTTCTGGCTCTCTCAGTCAACGTTCTGTTCATCCGTTCTGCTATGCCATTTTGCTGGGGTGTGCCTGGCACTGTCCTCTCTAATCTAATGCCGCTGTCATAACAGAATCTCTTGAACTCTGAGTCTTCATACTCGCCGCCGTTGTCAGAACGAAGCTTCTTGATCTTCAAACCGGTCTCGTTCTCTACCATAGCCTTCTATCTCTTGAAGACTTCAAACACTTCTGATTTGTGTTTCATAAAATAGACCCAAGTCTTCCTCGAGTGATCATCTATGAAGGTCACAAAATATAACCTTCCGCCGGTGGATGGTACTGATGCTAGACCACACACATCTGTGTGAACTAACTCAAGCTTCTCTTCTTTAGGAGTTCTGCCAACCCTTTTGAAGCTTATTCTCTTTGATTTCCCAAGAATGCAACTTTCACATAAGTCAATATCAGTCGATCTCAAACCTGGTAACTTCCCATTCTACTGCATAATCTTTAGGCGTTTGCTACTCATGTGACCTAGCCTCTGGTGCCACAAATTTGGGTCTTCCTTACTTTCAGCCACTGCAATGGAACCACGTGCATCTATCGTCATGTAGAGAGATCCAGTCTTCGTACCACGGGCAACAACCATGGACCCCTTTGTAACCTTCCACTTATCACATGCGAAGGTTGATACATATCCCTCTTTCGCCAATTGTCCTATGTAAATTAGATTTTTCCTCAAGCTAGGAACATGTCTCACATCACTCAGCTTTCATATAGACCCATTGAGCTTGATCTGCACGACTCCTTTGCCAACAATATCACAGGGCTGATCGTCACCAAGATAGACTTTTCCTAGGTTTCCTAAAACGTAGTTCTCGAATAAATCTCTATTTGAGGTAGCATGAAACGAAACTCCTGAATCCAGCACCCATGATTCAGTCTTGCTCTCCAACGAACAGATTAGGGCATCATCTGATTCTCCTGAGGCCACGTTCGCTTCAGTCTTGTTCTCCTTGTCCTTCTTGGGTTCTCGGTACTGATTCTCATAGTGGCCAAACTTGCCACAATTCCAGCAATCGATCTCCTTCTTGCTCTTGCGATTTTTGGACTTTGACCTCCCGTTCCTCGAGTTAGGTCTTCCTCAGCTATTCCCTCTATTTCTGTTTCTGTTTCTTCCTCTGCTCTCAAGATTCAACGCCGACCCTGAATTAGAAATCCCTTCCTCTTGTCTTCTAATCTCCTCAGTCATAATCATATCCACCACCTCTGAAAACTTCATTTTTGATTTGCCACATGATCCGCTAATCGAGATAACGGTACCCTTCCAACTGTCGGGTAATTGACCAAGTATCAAGAGGGCTTGGATTTCATCGTCAAACTGAATATTGACCGAGTTTAGTTGATCCGTGATCTCGTTAAACTCGTTCAGGTGTTCCTTGAATTTCTGGCTCTCGGACATCCTCAAATTAAACAGCTTTTTAATGAGATGTACCTTATTCGCCACAGAGGGCTGCTCATACATACTGGACAACGCCGCCATGAGATCCGCCGTCGTATTCTGATTCTTGATGTTGAACGCTACTGATTTGGACAAGGTCAACCTGATCGCTCCAAGGGCCTTTCGATCCAATAGCTTCCAATCCACATCCTTCATATCCGTCGGCTTCTCTCCCAATGGTAGGTATAAATCCTTCTGATAGAGGTAGTCTTCCATCTGCATCTTCCAGAACCCGAAGTTCATTCCATCAAACTTCTCAATCTTGGATGTTTCCTTCTCAGATCCCATGTCTCTGACCTCAAATCGCCCGCGCCGAACCTGGTCTCTCTGATACCACTTGTTGGGGATGCACAACCCCCCTGATGCGATTTGGAAATAGAGATTTAGGAGAGAAGAGAGAATTCAATCAATCACAAACACACAAGATTTACGTGGTTCGCTTCTCAATGTGAGAAACTACGTCCACGGCCGCAGCAGGAGAAAATTTCACTATTTTCATCTTTATTACATCATGCCCTAATCAACCCTTTTATAGACTTAAGGGTTTTACAAATAGAAAAGGAAACAGGTCAAAAACTGTAACTAGGCCAAAACCCGACTCGCGGTCGACCGCGACGAATCCTTCTCCTAATCAGAATCTCTGGAGTTTTGGCGGTCGACCGCTGCGCCACCCGCGGTCGACCGCGACGAAGCCTCCTGCTGATGGTAGCTCTCTGGACTTTTGGCGGTCGAACCGCACGCGCGCACGCGCGTCGACCGGGAGCGAGAGGCAAAAATTCTTGCTGCTCTCATGGACTTTGGCAAGTCGACGGCGGCCATGGCCGATCCGGCGAGCTGCCTGCCGTGTGCAGGCGAGAGGTGCTACTGGCAACTGTCGCGGGTCGCCGCCGGCCATGAGCGGTCGATCGCGCCTTAGTCAAAATGCGCCCTTCGTCATTTTGCTTGAACTTCGTCGTCGTCGATCATGTTCCTCCTGTTCCACTTTGTTCCTCTTCATTCTGAAGTATAGGGCAGGTCTGATAGTTAGGCTTCACATATCCTAACAGTTTCGGCAGTTGATGCTGATTCCATTTGAAACCTCAGGAGTGAGCTAGGGAACCAGCTAGCCAAATAAGATCTGTGATCTGAAATTGAGGTAAGGGTTCTGTGCATCACTGGGCATTTTCCAATCAAAATTGGGGTCATGTTTCTGGCATTATTTGGTACTTTTCAACCATCTTCTTGTTTGACCTTTCTCATCTGTGCAGCCCCCTTTTTCTTTCCTTTTATATTCATATAGGCACATAATCCTTGTTGGTCTGCATCCAATAGTGCCCTGTTGTTCATCCTTCATTTCGTAAGAAGTTGTCTCTGACTCTCTATTACTCATAGTCACAAGTCCTGTGTTTGTCAAAAAAACTAAGTGTGTGCAATATTAATGAACGAACTTTATGCTGCAGATTATGGAGAGAAAGTTGTAAAGAAGTATGATAAGGTGAGTAAGTCTTGGGTCGCCCTTGGAGGATTGCCAGAGAGGTCAGTGTCGGTTAAAGGATGGGGATTGACTTTTAGTAGGGCTTGTGGAGAGAGGCTAATTGTTATTGGAGGACCGAGAGGATTAAGAGGAGGGATGGTCGAGCTCAACTCTTGGATTCCAGATGGAGGGCCGAGATGATAGCAAGCAAACATTCAGGGAGATTTGTTTATAATTGTGCTGTTATAGGATGCTTAATTCAGGATGAATTTTATGCATATAATGGGTATTTTCCTGCCTTTTCTTGCTTACAAAATTCAGATTGAATTAAGATTCAACTGAATGGCTCGTTTAGATAACACTTCAGGGTATTTTTTGCTTTTCTTGGTCATTTTTATTTAATTTGCGTTGGAATGTTTGGTATCGGTGGAGTTTTCTGGAGATATATGTTTGTGCAAGCACAATTGGTTAATAGTATTCTGACACTTATTATGTTTTCTGATAGGTTTTAGGTCATTCATAAAGGTTTTTACCCTTATATTGATTCATAATTGTTGTCTATGCTTATAGAAAATGAGTGGATTCTGGGTTAGACTTGTTATCAACCGTGATTTTTATTTTTATTTTTACTTAGTTTTTTGCTGATAGACCTTCTATTCACTGTTTGTTGTAAGTGTTGCCTTAGAAATGTTAGATTAATTGTTTATATTTGCTGGCGAATGTCCTGTCTCTTTGAGGTATGACAAGGTGGGTTTTAAATTATTATGTGGGGTTCATAATTTGATAAGTGAAAAATTACTTGGCCTTCAAATATTTAAACTCATGTAGTTTTTTAATATGCATCACGTGCAACGCACATATGACATACTAGTAATCCTTAAAAAACAGAAAAGAGAAAATTTCTAATCCATGCTCAAAGTGAACACGTTTGTTATTTAATTCAACTTGTATTCTATTTTATTCTTGTAACAGGTGTAAGAAAAGATCATATGGTGCCCTCACAACGTGACGATAGAACCTTCACTATTTAGTTTCAAATCATATGGAGAGAAATAATAAGGCATTGTATACACAAAAGTTCTTTGATGAAGTACTCTAAGAAACAACCAAAAAACTTGAGAATTCACAATGCTTTAACTACAGACTTATAATCTCACAACATAACATCTTAAATCATACATAACAGTAGAATATCTCAACAATATAACAACCGTGAAACTGACACCATAAGAATATACACACATTGATCTAGATCTCCTAAACCGTTCAGAAGAAAATCATCCTCTTTCACCTTCAGACCTTTCTCTCAGATCCCTCCTGCGTGAGCAATTGTTCAATTTGGCTAAAGTTGAAGAAATTCATTGGCGCCAGAGATCTAGAATTCAGTGGCTCAAAGAAGGGGATAACAATACCTCCTTCTTTCATAGAATTGCCTCCCACCGTAAGAGAATAAATTTTATTCCCTACCTCCAAATAGACAACACCATCCTCTCTTCTGAATCAGACATCAAACTGGCTTTTCATTCTTATTTTTCTAAACTGTTCCAACCCCAAGAGAACTCCAAGCTTCATATTAACTAGCAGAAGTTGTACCCTCATCAGCCCTTGGATTTATCCCCCCTAGACTCCCCCTTCTCTGCTGAAGAAATAAGAAAAGCTGTTTTCGATCTCCACCCTGAAAAGTCCCCTGGTCCTGATGGCCTTCCCATCCTCTTTTACCAAAAATTTTGGGACATCATCAATTCTGATGTGATTTCTTTTATCCAACATCTCCACTCCAATGTCCATCTCCTCCACAACATCAACTACTCTCACATCTGTCTCATTCCTAAGAAGGAAGGGGCCCATTCTCCAGCAGACTTTAGGCCCATCAGTCTGCTTAATAGCTCAGTCAAGATCTTTACAAAAATCCTTGCAAATAGGCTGAGTCCTTTTTATCCCTTCCTTGGTTGAGAGAACCCAATCTGCTTTTCAAAGTGGCAAATCTGCCCTAGATTCTATTCTGCTGGCAAATGAGATGATTAACTCCTGCACCGTAGGAAAGAGAGAGATATGTGCTATCAAGGTTGACTTTTTCAAAGCTTTTGATTGTGTTCATTGGGAGTTTCTTCTTTCTCTCCTTAAAGCCAGAGGGTTTAGTACTACTTGGTGCCATTGGATTCATCATATTCTATCCTCCTCCAAATCAGCAGTTTTAGTTAATGGGTCTCCCACATCTTATTTCAAGTGTCACCGTGGCCTAAAGCAGGGAGATCCACTTTCTCCCCTGCTCTTCTTGCTTATTGTAGATGTCTTGAACAAGATGATTCTCTCCAGTGTCCTTTCTGGAGATCTCACCAACCTCAACCTCAAAGGTGAGCTTAACTCCATCAGAACACTGCAATTTGCAGATGACACCCTCATCTTTTGTAGAGCAGATATCAAGAACACTCTCACCCTTAGACTTATTCTTCTTATATTTGGGGAACACCTCTGGTCTCTCTATGAACCTCTCCAAGTCCAGTCTGCACTACCTTGGTAAGATTCCCAATTTAGGATCCATGTTGGCTACTAGCTTCAACTGTTCCATTGGCTCTCTCCCTCTTCCATACCTTGGCCTCCCTCTCAAGAGGGGCTCCCTCTCCAGAAGAGACTGACAACCTCTTCTTGACTCATTCTCTAAAAAATTGGCTCTGTGGAAACATAAATCGTTGTCTATTGGCGGTAGGCTCACACTAATAAACTCAGTTCTATCTTCTCTTCCTCTATACTATATGTCTTTTTTTAAACTCCCTAAATGGCTCATCAAGGCAATTGACAAAATTAGAAGATCTTTTCTCTGGGGACATTTTCAACAGTCTTCTAAATGCAAAAATTTGATCAGTTGGGGTAAAGTCTGTAGACCTAAGAAGGAAGGGGGTTTGGGAGTTATTGAGTTAAGTGCATTCAATCAGGCCCTTCTTTCCAAGTGGGTTTGGAAGATTAGCGATAAAACATCCTTCATTAGTAAGGTCATCTGCTCAGTGTACTCTTCCTCTTCTCTCAACCCTTTGACTTGTGCACCGAAAGCATCCAGCTCCAGATTCATCAAAGACTTGTCTTCAATCCAGAACTTCTTTTTCAGTCAGGTTCAATGGAATCTTGGTGACGGTAAGACTATCAGATTTTGGATTGATAAATGGTTGGGTCCTAACTCTCTATGCAGTATCTTCCCAAAAGTGCATCAACTTGCTTTCTCTCAAATCAGTTCGACTCACTCTCAAGGAAATTATATCAACAATGTGTGGAGATGGCATCCAATTTTAAGAAGAGGGTCATCATCAGATATTAGGGAGGAAATCAGGCAACTTTTTTCTCTCCTTGCTTCTTCTAAGCCTCCTGATGCTCTAGCTCAAGATCAGTTAAGATGGCCTCATCATTCTTCTGGTTCTTTCACAGTAAAATCTTGTTATAACCTTCTTACCTTTGGAGGTATCAACTATCCTCTTTTCACTTTTACATGGAGATCCCCTATCCCAATCAAGATTAAGATTTTTTTCTGGATCCTTAGTCATCAGAAGCTTAACACTAGGGATGTTCTTGCCAAAAAAGGGTGGATTGGTGATTACATTTGCCCATTATGCAACAATGAGAATGAGTCTCATGAACATATCTTCATCAACTGCTCCATCACTAGAGAGGTTTGGTCACTGATTGATCCTAGCTCTCAATCACCTTTCTGGCCAAAAGACATGTTCTCCCTTCTCTCAGGATCTCTTCATCATTCGATCAACCGATATCTCAGAAAAATTTGGAAAGTCATTCTCCCTTGCTGCTGCTGGTTGATCTGGAATAGTAGGAATAATTTTATCTTTAATGGCACGACTGTTTCTGCTAATCATATAGCGTCTCTTATTGCACGTTTTACACTGTTCTAGACAGGAGCTACTAACAGTAGCAGAGCAGCCACTTTGCACAAGGCGGCCATTGAGCTTGGCCTCCAATCCCTGGCTAAAGGTGGAGCGGGAGATGATCGAGGGGACAACTGTGGATAGTTTTGTGTTCAGGGTGGTAGTTTTTACTACATTTTAGCTTATTGTAATGATTATATATTTTCTCAGTTGACACTTCTTAGACAAGCCTGACTTTTACACTCAGGGTAGTAGGAACCTAGTAGATTTGTTTGCCTATTGCCCAAATCTCCTTTTTGGTTCCTAACCCCCCTGAGTTTTTCGTTTTTGTTCTGTAATTATGTAATTATTTTTCATGCTTTTATATATATTACCATGAACAGGGAACCTCACCCTGTTTTTTTGCTTCAAAAAAAAAAAAAGAATATACACACATAAACCTCACAATCAAGTGGTCAAGGAAATAGCAACAACTATCACAAACTGATATTTGACATCCCCTTTTGGAAGCCTACTCTCCATGGCTTTGTTCACATTATTCAGGCCAATGACTTGATACTAGTATCCTTTAAGACCGCCAAGAAAACTCCCCGCTGAAATTTTGCTACCTAAAAATAACCAATGTGAGCTTTTCATCAAATCTAATATCTAATCTAATCTAATACTATTATAAAAGTGTGTTACCATGTTAAAACATTTCTACCCAAAATGCCCTATAACATATCCATCCATACATACATGAAACCATCAAATACCTAATTTTTTATAACATCACCATTGACTACACATCCATCCATCCATTTATACATACATGATGACACATGAATATACTCAGTCTTTCATAACCTTCAATTTTTCAAATAAATTCTCATTAATCTGTTCCACTTCACTCGCTCATAATGGTTTTTCAAATAAATTCTCATTAACCTGTTCCACTTCACTCGCTCATAATGGTTTTTCAAATAAATTCTCATTAACCTGTTCCACTTCACTCGCTCAGAAGAGTTTTCTATTGAATATCAAATGATTATAGAAATCTAGCAATCCAAATCTCAAATATAAAACTAATTGTAGAATACTATAGAATATCACATGAGTACATAAATCTGCCAATTCGAATATCAAATAATAATAATAACTATTAAAATTATAATTACAAAATAGTGAACAAAGAGATAAAGTTTACATGTCACTATCGAACTGTAAGCTCAAGCTTTAGCATGTTGGGTTGTGGCTCACCAACCTCCATGTAAATCATTAGTTTTTACGATATATTAATAGTGATGCTTCTGCTTGCCTTCGTAACTCACTGATTTGCTTCATCTTTACCACAATCACCTGCAAACTCCCCCTTAGCCATTAAAAAAAAACAATATTAGTTTCTCATCTCTTTTGATCTCTATACTATTAATTTATTATTATTATATACAATCAAAAGGTAATCAGAAGTGAACATATTTAGCAGGTAAAATTGAGTTTTATTTGTAAAGTATTTATTTATTCCATTTAATAAAAAAATTTGATTAAGCATTTCAAAATTTTAGAGAAATTAAATGCGACTTTTATGGGACTTTGAGTGAATGGACTATTTTTAAATTTCAAATTACTGAACATTTTTATATATGGCAATAATAG